TGGTGATGCGAATGAGAATGTCCGAGCAGCTCTCTACTCGAGGAGAAGGAGCGCAACGACTTTCCCGCGCGTGGAGACACTTGCTCTCGCGCAATGCGGACGTTGGGGTTCTCCCCGCTGTCATATATTGTGTAGATTATGAAGTCTCCCATCCGCGATCCTGGGCAGGAGTCAACTGTGGGAAACCGGATTTCGCGGTTTAGGTTCTGAGAAATACCTTTCAGATGTTTGATGTCTTGTTTGATTAGTGATATTTCCAAGTTGTTTCTGGCGTGACCGTGTGTGTGTTCCTTGAAGGAAGAACAAAACGTTCCACTCTGTCCAGTGGAGAATAACAAAAATTGTCAGCAAATTTCAGCAAAGCCGGAGTAAGAAGTCAGCATAAAAAAGACGAGCAGTCGCAACGCAACAGGCCCAAGCAATATGGTATTCAAGCAACGCATCTAAATGACGTCTATGCGACGTTACCGCAGTCATTCAGCTCGGGTCATGTTGCAGCAACGTTGCATGGGTGTCAGGTGTTGCTTGAGTCGTTATCATTGCGTTCGTTACTTATTTATTTTGTATGGATTGTTGTTGAGTTCCAAGTAATTGTCAACGTCAAAGATTGAAATCTAGGCTAGTGCTTCTGGCGTCATAGAATGGATATCATGAATACTGTCTGTGGTTACTGAGTGAGTACCATGCTTTTGCACAAGTTCATCAGAGATGAATGTGTGAGTGCAATATTTGAAAATTGATCGTAAATGTTATTCATGCATCTCAAGAGAGAGAAAATTGACCGGAAAAGATTTAAAAGGAAACCCGAGGTTCCACCCCAAATGAACGAACGTGAAGTCTCGCCTAAAGCGGGAAGGCTTCTTTTCTATCTCGGCTCGAGTCATTGCGAGGGAGGGGCCTGTTTCTTAGGCGTGAATCTCTTGAGGTGTCAAAGCATCTACAGGTAATTGCCTGTAGATTCCGTCACGAATTGTACCGACTTGGGCTAGGCTAATGCGGGGGGGGGGGAAGTGGAACGGACAATAAATGTGACGAAGAGACATGTTTCGAGGATCTGAAGGAACTCGGTTGGGGAAGCATTGAGTCAGCGTTGTTCTCGAACATCGATGTATCGATTCACCGTATTTTGTGTCCATTCGTCCCGAGAAGAATGGCATTCTCTTAGCTGCTATCACCTCCTCTCACTTGTCCGTCTGGGAAAAACGAGGGAAAAGCAAGGCTTCACTGCCGCGAACCGGAAGTACGGAACAACCACGTTTTTTCTCTTCGTTTCCAGCTCGGGTCCAGAGGGCAACCATGACTTTCGGTTAGTTCGATGCGCATTCGAGGATATCGTATGGTGTGTTCTGGTTTTCCGTTCACGTTCAGTTCCTGCTCGATTTCATGAAGTTCCCCGTTACGTTCATGAAAAGCCCATACCCGAAGTCAGCAAGTTATTAATTTGATAGTGTCACCTTGTGAATATACATTGCGAAGCTGAACTACTGTCGTGCTTGAGTACAGGATGTAATTTAACAATTCTACCAAGAGTTGTTTGTTGTTTTAAAATCCAATGGATGTTGTCAATGAATTTTTGATCATAATATGCAGTTTCAACATCCCGCATGCTGTACAGCACGTGTATGAACTCGGCCTAACCCTCGCCTCCAAGTGCCCACAACATTATGTAACGATATTTCTGCAGCAGACTATTTAGACAGTGACAGGAGACCATTCAAACCAGCAGCTGAGATCACCGGCAAGACAAACCCATTTTTTTCTCGAAAGAATTCTCGAAGAAATTTTAGAAATGATGAGTGTTCTCTTTCTCAGCCTCAAAATTCACGTATCACCGACCGAAGCGCAGTCACCATATGACTCGTGGCGCCTCTTGGTTGAGAAACGGAAATTTCACGTACTCTCCCTGAAATGGAAAAACGATTTTTATCGCATGTTTGATCTGGTCTTTGAGATGCCCCTGTCTGCCAAGACCATACTACCAGAATATTAAATGCTGTAGTTTTTAGTCTTGCTTTAACTTGGTAACTCGGCCGTCGTGGATGATTTGGTTCCTCCCCTCCTCCCGAGATGTCGTGAAAAGTTCAGTTCCTCTCGTCTTCCCTAGATGTCGCGAATAGTTCAGTTCCTCTCGTCTTCCCCGACGCGTGATTTCCCGAAGGCGTGGCGTCCCTCTCGGTCCGACGCGCTGAACATCGAAGAAGATGGGCGTGTCTTTCTCCAGCCGCTAGCAAAAAAGACGCGTTGTCTAGGCACGACCACGTCATCGAATGACGTCACTCTTGGGCTAGCAGCTGGCAGCGGAACATAGCAAACTATGGGAGCGCCGAGCAGCCGAGTCTTAACATGACGTCATGGGATGCTGGAGGCCTCAGCAGAGCTAGCAGAGCCGCTAGGAAAAAAGACGCGCCCGATGACGTTCTCCATTTACGAGCATAGGACGCACTTCGACCATCGAAGAATTTCTTCGTTTCTACAATCCGAGAAGCGTTGGGGCGCAATCCATCGAGAGAATCGAGAAGAGTAAGCCACATCGCATAGATCCCTTCTGATGCGTGATGAGCATAGGCGGCGAATCGTTGAGAAAACGAGCGGGCTCGGAGACAGTACTCCCTTGCAAGTATTATTCTCACGCCCCTTCTGCCTTATTATTATTATTATTATTATTTATTTATTTTTTTTTTTTTTGAGGGGGGGGGGGGGGCGAGCCCCTAAGCCCCTAAGCCCCTATGAATTGCCGCTTGTGAAATAAGTATTTTAGAGCCTCATTCGTCACTATAATTCATTTGAGGACTTCAAAGTAAACCCGGGACTCCTGAAATCTCATGACATCATTAGCAAAATAGAACATGAAGCCTCATTTTGCTCGTCATTCAGATCCTTTCAAGTCGAAACAAAAATCAAAAGTGGAACAGCGCCTAACCGCGAAACCTCATTTATTCGTGGCTCATGACTTCCTACGAGAGACGTTCAGAAAGTTCTTGAAACTAGTATGATCTAATCCCTTGTCCTTTGTCCTTTGTCCTTGTCCATCCTTGCTTAAAATACCGATACCGATAGAAGGGACGAGAGGAACGAGTGGGTTTTAGCTCGATCGCGAATTCGCAGCTGCGAGATGTTTCGCTTTCCAGAAGTGGCGTGCCATTCCCGATTGCAAAACGTGTTTGGCGACCTTCGCGAGGATGAATATCGCACAGTTTCGCTAATTTCACATATCTGATGCAATTTCGAGGACAAAGAGCCGAGAAAAATCGATGCGAAACGCGGAAGATCCGCTTCGCCCGTTTCTGCAAAACGCAAAACGTGCAAACGAGGTATTTAATTCGAGAAGTAACGGTAAGAAAAGCAAAAAAAAAAGGGCTTAAACGACAGCCGAGGCGAGAATCGAGTCCTTTCGCTTCGGAATTTCAAGCCGAAAATCGTGAGGAGCTGGGAGCGTTTTCCATTGTTCGCGTCTCAATGGCGGCATTGTTGATGGCTATCGAACAGGGGCAGTGGGGCTCTCCCATGCCCCATTGGGGGCAAGGGGGGCAAGGGGGCAAGGGGGGAAGGGTTGGGAGTTCAGTCGATTCGTGGAAGGCGTGAGGGGATGAGGGGGGAGATCGTGGTCCGTGTCGCGGTGTTCGCGGTGTTCGCGGTGGTCGCGGTGATCGCGATGGGGACCGAGGATCCCGACGAGGGTGTCTCCCGTCACAGGAAAGGAAAATGTAAAAGAAAATCTCTGCTTTTCGTTCTTTTTTCGCGTTTGGTCGTTTCTGACGGGTCGCTGTTCCAGTCTGGTGGCCGGTGTTCACGATCGTCCGCTTCCCCAACTACGTGTGTCCGTCGTCCAAGGAGCAGACGAACGGGAACGGGACGTGTCTCTCCGAGGTCTGTCTCGAGTGCGAGTTTTCTCTCTCTCGATTTCGCGTCGGATTCTCGTCGGAACGTGACGGATGCGTGTTTTCGTCCAGAGGGAATGCCTGTCTCGAGGAGGGGAACCTGCCGGTCGCTGCGCAACGGGATACGGGACCTGCTGCTTCTGTGAGCGAATGCCCGTCTCACTCCTTTTTAGTGCTAGGGAAGGCGACAAAAGGGCAACTGAGGGCAGGGAAGGCGACAAAAGGGCGACATGGGATTCGATGGCCCTTAGTTGATGCGTCCAGATTTAGGGGGACTCGTGTTAACTCGGTCGCTTTCTGTAGCGTTCGTGGTTATCAATATGTTAAAACTTTACGATATTGATATGTATCATCGAGTTTTACGTCACACAGTAGGAAATGCGCTACAAACTACAAATACATATAAATCAGGAAACAATTTTTTTTATTAACCTCCAAGGATAAAAAGAAGTGCATAAAAAAAATACAATAGCTATATTATGCTGTGGAAAATAGCATAACATCCAAAATGTTACTTTCTTGGAGTCAAACTGTTCCTGAAAATCATGCTTCAGTCAAAACTTCTTGAAAATGGCTGATAAGATCCTTACTACTTAATGTAAGACCTTATCATAGAACCTTCAGTGAGGTGAAAAGAAAACTCTTGAAAAGAGCCCTCCCACTCACGCGCAACGCGCACAGGCGTGACCAGGCGTGACGCGTAGGCTTCTTCACCTCTCTCAACCGGAAATAGAGAGAATCATCGCGCTTTTTCCACTTCCGTTTCGGTTCAGGTCCAGAGGGCAGCAATGAATTTCGGTTCGATGCAAGTAAATCTTTTGGTCTGCTCCGGTTTTCTTTTGATTTTCTGTTCGATCGACATTGCTACCTCGTGAACATCGAGGAGTCGAACTATCAGTAACCGAATAAAAAATTTCATGATTTTTTCCTCCGAAAAATTAATTGAAATATTTATATCGGAACGAAAGCGAAAGAGACTCGGGCAGCCCTAAGTAAAGCGACGAAGAGTAAAAGTTTGCTGGGACCATAGGGTCCCAGCAAACCGTCAGAGAGGTGGAAGGAGCCCCATCTGGAGCGCCGTGCGAAACGAGTTTGGCACCACGAAAGAGCGAACCCCGAACGATGCAGCGTGGTCTTCCCTTTAGTTTCCGGTAATAAGACTCGGCTCGGTCGTAGATCCATGTTCGACCGAACGTTCGAAACGCGTACCACAGCGGCCTCGGTTCGCAGCCCTTCTCGTTTCGAACCCATCGCCCGGCACGAATCGATTCCATTTAAACCTCCCCGAAACCCGGATTGCAGTTCACCGAACCTGCGGCAGCAGCACCCGCGAGAACAACACCTACTTCCAGAACCCCGGCTACCCCTCCCCCTTCCGCGGCATGGGCACCTGCCACCTCCTCGTCTACAAGGTCCGGAACGACATCTGCCAGGTCCGGCTGGACTTCCTGGAGTTCCAGACGGCCGGGCCCTCCCTCCGCGCCGACACGGCCGGCCAGTGCCTCACCGATCGCTTCACCGTCGCCGGCATGCACAACATGGCCCAGGTCCCTCAGGTCTGCGGCTCCAACCAGGGCCAACACAGTGAGTTCCGAGGAATCGGATCGATCTCGAAGCGATCGCGAGTCGTTTTCGACTCGCGATCGTTTCTCGCGGAGTCTCGAATTTTCGCCAACGAGGTTTTCGCGTCATCGTCATAAAGATTTGCAAATGAATTCGCGCCATTTTTTTACATCGTGCCGCGATAGTTAAAGGCGGTGTGAATTAATTCGCAAATCACTCTAATTCGGCACGCACCGGCGAGCCAGGTATGAAAAACGCGGAACTCGGTTCATTTCGCATCGAATGCGTCTTTCGAACCTCAAAGAAACGACGAAGCGATACACGCGTGACGTCACTATTTCCGAGTTTCGTGATGCTATTTCCCCCATTCCTCCGCAGTGTACCTCGACGTGGACATGGAGGAAGCCCCGATCATGGTGAACATGATCATCATGGGAGGAGACATCAGCCGGAAATGGAACATCCGAATCGCTCAGATCCCTTGCGGCATCCTCACCGGTTAATAACATTTATTTCTCAATATTTATTTAAAATCCGTTTCCATCACTTACCCCCCTTCTCGACCTTCGTCTCCCTCGTCCGAAACTCCCCAGCCCCTGTGGGATGCCTGCAATGGTTCACCGGCCTGCACGGCGAAGTGAAGAGCTTCAACTTCGACGAGAACAGCGTCCACCTGGCCGACCAGCACTACACCGTCTGCGTGCGATCGGAGTCCGACTTCTGCAGCATCGAGTGGAGGGCGGTGGGCTCGAACGAGGAAAACTCCACCGTCACCGGCGCCTTCTCCATCAGCGACGGGATGCCCTCCGGCGCTTTCCCCGTCGCCGGTATGTCGGATCGTTCATCCCATTTTGATTTAAACTATTTTTTTTTTGAGATCGGTTCCTCTGCGAGATCTCGGGTAAACCTGGGGTGACCGAGATCGGGAAAGCTCGGTGAAAAAATAGGAGCGGTTCCCAGTTGCCCTTCCGTCGCGAAAATCCGTGCAAAAGCCGATGAAGACTCCCGACGGTTTCGGGATGCCTTTCGGAGTATTTCTCGATGACTTCATCTCGGTCGGAACGGGAGCACGCCTTTCCGGGGGGAAGGAGAGCGTGGGAAATTTATCACGCTAAGGAAAGAATAGGAGTGAGAGCATTTCCTTGCCGTACAAGTAATTGGAGCCGACATATGGAGATAACAGAAGATTTACTTTACTTCCCCCGAATTAAATTTGCCAATTTGTCCAAAAACTTACAGCGCACGGCCCTAAATATACTGAGGCTTTGTAAAGGAAAATTCGACTTTTTTCATTATTAGCACTCGAGTTTTTATCTATTGTAATTATTCTTTTTCATTATTATTGGCTATTTACTCTTTAAAATGCTAATTTCTTACCTTATCCGAACGAACGCCATCGTATGTGGAGACCCGAACGTCCGGATCCACGAGAAATCGTGCAAATTGTTTGATTATCGACTTCCCGACTACATCGATGAACTTAATTTAGTGGCTCTAAAAAAAATGGCGACATTTCTGACTGCGAAGGAAATTCAGAGATAACCGCCATGCGTCTAATTAAGAGTCGAAAGAGTAAAAGCCGGTGGCGATTCAGCGTTGGGTTGGGATCGGGCGGTCTGCAGGGACCAGAACCGGCAACACTTTTGCTCCGTGGAAGATTTATGGCTTCTGGAAATGCGTAGAGCGTGGGAAAAAAACTTTCAAATCTTGACTAGTTGCAATGTTGTGTATATTTTATTTTAGGGGGGAAAGGGAGAGAGAGAGAGGGGGGGGGGGGAAGTGCAGACACAGGATACGTAACTTGGAACTTGTAACTCATAAAAGTAGGGTCCCTGGTAAACAGCCCCCGGAAGCGCACGTACTCGATGAAGACTCGTCCGGATGAGTCCCGACGAGCATGCTAATAACGAGACGAGGAAAGCCAAAGATCCGTCCAAGAGACAACAAACTCGTACGAGATCGAAGAGATGAGAGATGCTTCGTCCCGTCATGCGCGACGGAGTCCCGAGAAAATCTATTTTCCGACCGGAGGAACGTAAGGACCGTCCCGACGGTGCTGCCATCTTCCGTCGAGCACGTAAATTCACAACCCGAACGAAGGACGACGAAGGACTACAGGGTGGGCCAAAAAAAAACTGGACAGTGTTCAACGATGCATTACACTTCACGCACTGCACATATTTTAATGCGGTCTGCGGCATTCGAAAGAGGAACGAATAAGCTTTAAAATGATGCCTTCACCTTCCAAACATCTTCGGCAGTTTCAGAAATTCGGGAGCTCGTGCGAACAGCAAACAGCCGCGTTCTCGGAGGGAGACGGCAATCGACCTTCGGTCGTGAAGGCCGCCGCTTGCCCTTCGCTTTCCTGTCCCGCGGCAACGGAATTTTTGCTCGGTGTTCGTATGAGCTCCAAAATTTCGGAAACCGTTTAAGGAATATAACATGTGAATACACCATCGTAAAGCTTTTCCATTCCTCTTTCAAACGTCGCAAACCGCATTAAAATATATACGACAGATTTATCCCGTGCGTGCAGTATAGCGCACCGTCGAAAACCGTCCGCTTTTTTTTTTTGGCCCACCCTGTATCTACTCGCAAAATATTTTTTGACCCGCAAAACCATGATCGCGGCGTAGCCGTTCGCCGCATCCGGCCGCTGACGCGAATTTCGCCCACGCAGGGACGGACATGGAAGACCCGGGCATCCGAACCGGCACGCCGGTCGAGCCGACCTGCACGGGCGCCCCCGGCCGGACCGACTACGTCGGCATCCGCTGCGGCAGCGGGAACGGCGGAAGGATCTACAACGTCTACAACGCCTCTTCGGGGTCGTCCGTCGAGACTTCCTGCTCCCACAAGTTCTGCGGGACGGCGCTGCACTACCTCAACGGGTTTCCGGGGCACGGCACCGTCTACAGTCAGTACTTTTCCATATATATTTTTAAAATAATCGACATTTTTAGTCTCATTTAAAAAAATTTTTTTTTGTATTTAAGCATTCGAGCTACAGATTCGGTTCCCTTTTTTTTTGCTTCCGATATCGCACTTGCGGCATTTCGCGATCCGTTTTGCCTCGAAAGTCAAAGCCACGAGTCAAACGCAATTTTCATCTTGAGTGTCATTTAATTTTAATTCGAAGGGTGATCGTAAAGTCGCTCGACGGTCGCACGGCGTTCCTTGAACCCGTCGAAAATCGCGGAAAATCGCGACAAGGACGCCGGAGGACGCAGCCGACGCGACGGCAGGTGCATCCATCGGACGGCCGCACGAAAAGCTGCCGCGAAGCGACGACAGTCGGACACGTCGACCTCGAGTCGGACACGCCGACCCCCAAACAGCAAACGACAATTATGCAACATCGTACGTAATCGGACTCGGCGCGACCGGCTTCCCATCTGCCCTTCGGACGCGACGCGACACCTCTCGTGTATGACGTCACACGAATGACGTCACGGACGACGCGGAAGACGGCGTCTTTCGGCGATGCGTGTTTTTATTCGAGTTTTGCCGAGCTGCGGTGCGCAGATTTTATGCTCGAGTGCCCCTATGACCGTCGAGGGACTTTCTAATCACCCCGTAAATCGTTGCAAATGAAAATATGGAGTTCGTTGCAATAACATTAGCGTCATTCCACGCCGACTCGACCAGGGCGTGACCTCGACCATCTCGGATTTTCCTGAAAATCGGCACACACCTAGAGGAACCGATTTAAAGAAACGAAGTTCAATTCTTTTTTTTTTGTCTCTCGCACAGATCTCCAGATACATGCATTCCAATTTTTTTGGCACCTGGCGCCCTGGGATCGTAAAACCGTTTCTGCAATAACTTGTCGAGATGGAAGATTCATCCTGGTGTCGTTTCGATCGCGAAATTCCCGTTTTTAAATCCGTTCCAGACGCTAACACGAGAAGTTCCACTCGACCAATAATTTCCGTCAAGTTCGGCGGCCACTTGCCACCTCTGGATTTCTTCGTTCCTATGCCGAATTCGAAAGTGCGCGGTTTGCCATTTCTAACGCCGAATTCGAGATCGGCACGCGATCTCTTCATGAGATATATGGCAAGAACTGGGCACGGAAATTGGTGTTGCCCTGTGAGTGACAATTTCCCCGATTTTTTGTTTTAAGCATTTTCATTATTTTCCTAGCGTACAGGAATGCAAAATAATGCATTTTGGAACAGTTAAGAAATAAGTTTAAATAATTAATTAAATACATCAAAGTGATAGAACGAAAAGCATTTGTGAAATTTCGTGCAATATTGTGCAATTTTTTTTGCACGTTAGGAAAATGCTAAAAATGCGCATTCCTAGCCAAGAAGCAATCAAGTACCGATCGAGAATTTGGCATCGTTAGAAATGGCATACGAATTGAAACGACGAATTTTCAGAGGTGGCGAGTGCAGACATTCACCACTGAATTTCATCAAACCGTTTGGTCCAGTGTGACTCCTCGTGTCCGCTTTGGAATATATTGCCCGGAAAGGATTTAAAAACGAGAATTTCGCGATCGAAAAACGGCACCAGAACGAAGCCTCCATCTCGACCGGAGAAAAAGTTATTGCAGAAACGGTTTTGCGATCCCAGGGCGCCAGGTGCCAAAAACGGTTCCCATTGGAATGCATGTACCTGGAGATCTGTGCGAGAGATAAGAAAACGGTTCAACTTTGTTTCTTTAAATCGGTTCCTCTACGTGTAAGCCGAATTTCATCGAAATCCGAGACGGTCGAGTCGGCGCGGAACGCGCGATCGGAGCAAAAAAAAAATCATTTCGCTCAAGTTTGCTTTAAAATCATTCGAAGAGCGCTCGCGATTTTGGATGAAAATCGAATCGTGCGTTCACGCGACCGCTGCAAATGATGTCTCTACTTTCCTTGCAAACGTGCAAAATCTGCACCGAAGCCCACCGAATTCGCACTTCTCCCATCGATGAACGTTTCTTCTGCACGGATTCCGTCCAGGCCAGGTCCGGCCGTTCCAGCTGGAAGTTTACACGGACTCGAGCGAGACGGGGGACGGGGGGGACGGGGGAGGGCAGAACAGGGGATTCTACCTCGAGTGGACGCAGCGTCCTTGCGCCACCTTCAAGAATTCCCGCGGAGAGAGATGAGGGGCGGCGAGGAGCGGCGAGGAGCGGCGAGGGGCGGCGGGGGACGAAGCGAGGAGTCCTTTTTTGTTCTTGCTCGCGGCTCGATTGGATCTTTTCCGTGTTCTTTGTCGCCGCGACCTTGCCGAGAAAAAAAACTGGGCCTTTTTTTCGCGTTTCGTGTTTTCATTCGTTTCTCGTCCGGTTCTCTGCGAAAGATCGCGTCGCGATCGAAAAGGGACGCGCGGGATGCCGTCGTCCGCACGGAACGAAGGACGAATCGACACGGAAACGAACGGACGCGGAAGGAAACGCGAGGCATTTCCTGCGCTCGACCGTATGAGGAAAACCGCGCGGCCCTCGGACCGCGATTTTCATAACCGCATTAAGAGCCCGTGGGGGGGGGAAGGGGAAGGGGAAGGGAAAGGGGAAGGGGAAGGTGGCCTAGACCCTGTTCAAGGTCGTGACCCCCTGATGTAGAAGAATGCTCTTTAAATAGCTCTGACTCGCCCAAATCCCCCCCCTGCGGCTCCCCCACGGTCACATCGGGAAGGACAGCCAAAAAAATGTAATGGAATGCGGGTCTGTCGGGTGGCGCCGTAAAATATTTATGGATATTTATTGCTATATTCTATACCTCCTTATTTATAGATGTTTATCTCTTTTTCTTCTCTTTTCACCTTCTTCACCTTTCCTCGTACGATGGATTCCCTCCTCCATTTTTTAACGACTTCTTTTTTTTTTTAGTTCATTTAATCGAATTTAAAATTTATTTAAAGCCCCGTCAAATCGAAATCGGATCCTCCGAAGCCATTCCCCGTCCGAGAGGATAACGATTTCCATGCTTTAAAGTATG